CCCCCCCCCCCCCCCCCTCTCTCTCTCTTTCTGCCTATATATACATATGTGCCCCCATTTGCGTCTCACACATTGATTGAGATAAATACTACTACACACGTATAGAGTGAGTAGTTTGAAACTACTTTGAGAGAATATGGGTTTTTCGAGTCCAAATAGCCAGCTCTTGTCCAAGATAGCAACCAATGAACTACATGGAGAAAATTCGCCTTACTTTCATGGGTGGAAAGCATACGATAATGATCCTTTCCACCCTATCCAAAACCCGAATGGCGTTATCCAAATGGGTCTGGCAGAAAATATGGTACAGTTTTTTGCTCTTATTTGAATGTCTTCAATGGGCTTTAAGAAGCTTAAATCTGATGTTAATCGTGGATTTGCTTGTTTGGTTGCAGCTTTCTTTTGACCTAATCGAGGATTGGATTAAGAAAAACCCAAGAGCATCGATTTGTACCAGTGAAGGACTTAACAAGTTCAGGGATATTGCTATCTTCCAGGACTATCATGGTTTATCGGAGTTTAGAAATGTATGAAATTCTTAGACAGTTCACACACACACACACACACACACACACACACAGATATATATATTGTAGTATCTATAGTTTTTTGTGACTTCTTATGAAGAAAAAATAATTCTGTTTTCAGGCTGTTGCAAAGTTTATGGGGAGAGTGAGAGGTGATAGGGTTAAATTTGATCCAGCCCGCATAGTCATGGGTGGTGGAGCAACTGGAGCTAATGAACTCATCACGTTCTGTTTGGCTGATCCAGGCGATGCATTTTTGGTGCCCTCACCTTATTATCCAGCGTATGCTTTCTCCTTTCATTTTCTTTCTGCCTTTTTTGTCTTTAATTTCATTTTCGTTTACCAGTGTGAAAGTGAAAGTTACTGACTCCATTATCAACAATATACCATTGCATCATGACGTGACGTGACGTTCAAGTCACGAAAACAGACTTCTCAGGATAAAATTGCACATAAAATCTTATGCACTGGACAATTTTTTTAAGGTGCTTGANTACCAGTGTGAAAGTGAAAGTTACTGACTCCATTATCAACAATATACCATTGCATCGTGACGTGACGTGACGTTCAAGTCACGAAAACAGACTCCTCGNATTATCAACAATATACCATTGCATCGTGACGTGACGTGACGTTCAAGTCACGAAAACAGACTCCTCGGGATAAAATTGCACATAAAATCTTATGCACTGGACAATTTTTTTAAGGTGCTTGAAATTTTTGGTTTTCAGGCAATCATGCATGCAAAAAATCTGAAGAAAGAGTTGTAAAAAATAATATTTTTTTGCTTTAAATAAAAAATGTTGGCCTATTTCTTCACAAACATAATCTTTTTTTGAAGTACCATTTTTGGAATTAAAGTTTTGTGTCTTAAATAGAAATTAGAACCACGTGAGAGGGTGGGTTGTTTAAGAGATTTGGTCAACAGCAAAATCTAGTTGGTAAACTTCATTCTTTGCAACTGATCGGTTAGAATTATGAGAACGAGTGATCTTATCATTTTTTGTCATTAGATTGACGATAAATTTTACTATTAGTTAAAATTCACTATTAATTCAATGNTTAAATAGAAATTAGAACCACGTGAGAGGGTGGGTTGTTTAAGAGATTTGGTCAACAACAAAATCTAGTTGGTAAACTTCATTCTTTGCAACTGATCGGTTAGAATTATGAGAATGAGTGACTTTATCATTTTTTGTCATTAGATTGACGATAAATTCTATTATTAGTTAAAACTCACTAACTATAAACTATTATGTCACCAAATAAGATTACTGTATTAGGTACAAATAGCATTTGAATAATAGTAGTAAGTGAAGCCATGATATGATGTGCGAAGATTCAGCCAATCAGTGAACTTTCTTGAGACAAGGAGCCTCTTTTTTTCTACCCCATTGAACTCTATTCCAGCAGACTGAGAGAACTGGAATTGAATGGCCAACTTATCAAATTCAACAACTTGTATAGCTGGATTTTGGAGAAGTTTTCAACTCATGGTTTTACTAATACAAATTGTCCAAGTCTAAAAATGGAATAAAATGACAGACTATAGACCGCAGAGTAGTCAATGGGTCACAACCTGGAAGTTAGGTCGACAAGAGGACCACATCATCTATCAAATATTATAAATTTTTTTTTTATCTTTTATGGGGAAAATTTCCTCTCCATGTACATGTCCATATGCTTTTACAAAAATAGTCATAGTGGTTCATATACACACAGACCAACAATTGTCAAAGAATTTATTTAGTCCCGACACAAAATCGATACAAAATTATTAGATATACGTTTTGTATTAATAGATTTGAGTCATAAAAATGTCAACCCGTCAAATGGTGGACACAAATTAAACTTAATATGATTTGCACAAATACGAATCTAATTATATTGGTATATGCGTTGGGTATGGGTTGACGAATTTTGAGACGGGGCGATGTAAGCTGACTTAGAAACAAGAAAGGATACCACCACCCATTGAAAGTTGAAGCCTTATTTGCACACAAAAAAGTTTGGCTTTAGTATAATTTCTAAAAGTTTTGGGCATTGAATATTTGCAGATTCGGTAGGGATCTCAGATGGAGAACTGGGGTGCAACTATTTCCAGTGATGTGCAACAGCAAGAACGACTTCCAGATCACCGTAGAGGCACTAGAAGAGGCATATGAGAAAGCCAAGCAATCCAACATCAAAGTCAAAGGCTTGATCATAGCAAACCCTTCAAACCCATTGGGCACCGTATTAGATCGAGAGGCACTGAAAACCCTAGTGAGCTTCATCAATGAGAAGAACATTCACCTTGTCTGCGACGAAATCTATGCAGCCACCGTCTTCAGCGCCGCCCCAAATTTCATAAGCGTCGCTGAGATTATACAAGAAATGGACTGCAATCGCGATCTTATTCACATTGTTTACAGTATGTCAAAGGACATGGGCCTCCCAGGCTTCAGGGTTGGAATTGTGTATTCATACAATGACGCAGTTGTGAATTGTGGCCGAAAAATGTCAAGCTTTGGATTGGTCTCCTCACAAACACAGCACTTACTCGCTTCAATGCTTGACGATGAGGAGTTTGTGGAAATGTTTCTTAGAGAGAGTGCTAAGAGGCTGTCTGATCGGCACAAATTCTTCACAATGGGGCTTGAACAAGTGGGAATCAGTTGCTTGAAAAGCAACGCAGGCCTGTTTGTTTGGATGGATTTGCGTTCAATGCTCATAGAACAAACAGTTGAAGCTGAACTGGAGCTATGGAAGATCATAATCAACCAAGTGAAGCTCAATGTCTCTCCTGGCTCTTCGTTCCAATGCGTTGAGCCTGGTTGGTTTAGGGTTTGCTTTGCGAATATGGATGATGCCACAGTAGAAATTGCTCTCAAAAGGATTCAAATGCTTGCGGGTCAAGGCAAAGAGAAAGAGGTGGCAGTAAAGAACAAGCCATGGCGAAAGAATCTTCGACTCAGCTTCCCAGCTCGAATATACGATGAGAGCAGCGTCATGTCGCCGCGTCTGATGTCGCCTCACTCACCGATTCCTCACTCGCCACTCGTTCGAGCCAGGACTTAGATGGGGAATTTTCTCCACACGCTATACAGTATATATATGACCTTTAATTAGGTGTCTTAAAATGGGTTTATATTTTTTTCCAATAATTTTTTTTCTCTATTTTTTTTTCTTGGTCGATCACTCGTCATGCATTTGTGTGGAAGTTATTATATATAACGAGCCCCACTTAGTTTCATGGCGAATGATTTACTAAAGATGTAATAGAGAAAAAATAAAGCGGAAGGGATCTAACAGGTAGCTGTTGGAATTTTTTCGGTAGATCTAATTTGATTTGTCGAGGTACAACACTATTGTTGTTTGATTAGTACTAATCAAACGACAATCAGTGAATTAAGTCAAAAAAAGACAATTAGTATTTGAAAATAACTATTGTTGATTTAATAACTCCGTGTTAGGCTGTTTGCCACTTGTGAAGAACTGTGAAAAGTGAAAGATTATGTTGCTTATTTGTTGTAGTCCATCACTATAGATGAACATCTGATTAATATGAAAAGTGTGTTCTTGTCATATTTTCATTTTGCTGGATTTGAATCTTCTTTCAGTATAATATTTGTCAATTCTCTTAAATGATAAATCATGTCTCATAAATTTAATTGTAACCCATTATATAAATAATATCTTTAATTACACGGTAACTGATATATTATCACAAAAATTGAAAAAGAATACATTTAAGGGACTTTAAATCTGTCATATATACATCCGATCTGATTCAATGTTGGAGATATTAAAAGTAAGAATAATGTTACATTGACTTAAAAACTAAATATAATAATCACAATCATTGAATAGGTAACGGGTCTCAATAAATGTCAGGACTCACAGTAAAATTAATATTTATAATTATTAAATTTAATTTTTAAATTTATGTAGCATTGTTCTAAAAGTAAATCCGTAATGGACCTTCTTTGATGACATTACTCGTCCAAATTTGGTTCACCACTCTTTGAAGAAGTGAGTCTAATTAGATGGGTTGGATCAAAAAATGGATTTGGGCCTCTTTAAGTTGGCCATTAACGTTAAATAGCAAATTCAAGCTTCTTCGATACTCTTCCCGTCAAGGAAGTGCTTAAACGAGAGGCCTGGCCTTGCTTGCTCATTGATCCACTTGGTCAGGAGGTGTGAGGAGCCCAACGAACAAATCCAAATCTACTTAAAATTCTAAGGGATTGGCCCGATATGAAAGGTGAAGAAAGTAGGCCTCGTAAAAGGGGGTGAATAAAAAGTTGTATACTTTATGATACGGAACAATTTGCTTCATGCAGGCAACGTAGGAAAAAAAGATGAAATATAATTTTAGTCATCTTGAGTTTAATTTTTGGTAATTCTTTGGAGCTAGATCTACGAAGAATTTATATTTTATAAATACCCTAATACCTATGTGAATGTCTTATTTTTTAGTGGATCGAAGAAAAAATTAGTCGATGTGTATGTAAGTTGACTAATAGACTCTTGAATGTTGAATAAAAAAAATAAAATAAAAAAAGCTAACATCCTTATCTGATAGTCTATGGCAAGGTAGGCACAACGTTTTTCTACAACCATGTATTCATTTGGTGACTCTAAAGGTCAAGTGTGCCCTAACAGTAGGATCGTCAGTAGTAAAAAAAAAATGAGTCGTAAATCTGCACGTTACAAGTTTCAATCTTTCTAATTGCATAAAATCTGAGTTTAATTAATGATCAACGTTTGTGATTACATGAATCACGGGGCCCACCCGTTTTATCTCTTCCTAAATGAATTTCTTGCAACCAGGAGTTTAAAAAATGCATTATTGGGACGATGGTTCATTAGGAAAGAATGTCTAGTCATGTATTTGCTTAGAAAAGCTTAGTTAAATTAAATGGATACCCCTAAACATGATGACATCATGGGGCATGCTGGATGTCCTATTTCAATTTTAGTGTGAACACTATTAAATTTTTTGGAACCTTAGATATCCGCTTATAGTGATTCAATGACTTTTTTTTTTATTTTTTGGGAGGGAGAGAGAAAAAGGAGACTTGAACCTTGACTTTAAGTAGACAAAACTTTCACAAGACGAAGAATACCATTAAATTAAAAGCTCATTGATGTATAGTGACTCAATGAATTGACATTAATCCATGTTATTTATGAATGGGCTAATATATATTTAACGATATCAATAGAGTTTGACTTTTGTATATATAAGTAGACTATCCGCATATACTAGCGAAAAGGTAGAGAATTATATACCATTTACAAATCTAAGCTTGAAAAATTGTACACCAAAAGGTAAACAATTTTCGACAAAGTTCGGTATACAACTCAAATAACATGATTGAAATTCGAAAATGATACAATCTGTTTAATCAAGGGGTCAGACAATTGCATACACAAATAGCTTTATTTTTTCTAAAATTAATCGTTTAATTAGTATTGTATAAAGAAAATGTCTCATTTTATTTTACTTATGGATATGGTATTTTAGAAATTGACATAGAATTTAAGTGTTTTTCTTTTGGTTTTGGTAGGATATGAACCATATAGATTTTCAATTTTTGAGGACCAATTTGTAGGGAGTTCGGTCAAGAGAGAATGGGGCTTTAGTTCGTCAATTGAATACGACACAACTTAACATAATAATATCGAATATAAAACGATCCAAATTAACACCACAATACCCGATTCTATTGCCACCCTTGCCCAAGAGGATAATTAAGGAAGCATAATGGATTAGTTAGGTCGTCTTAGCCTAAACTACGAGGTATATGACTAATGAAGCACTAACTAGATCTTGTAATACACCATAAAAATCTTTTTAATTGTGACATTGCTTGCTTGTGTAATTAAGCAGTTGCATCAAACAACATTGGGCCTATGTTTGTGTTTTTTCCTTCCAAAAATAACAAAGCATCGTCCTAATGCACTCGTGACAATACAGTTAACTTGGGATGGAATATGCATATCAATTTTAGACGGCACTCATGAATGCGACATAAAAGCTACATGGAATTCATAAGTTTCGATTTAGCCTGAGTGAGTTTGGCTGAGAAAGGGGTAAATTCATTAAACTTGTCAAACAAATGGGTCTGTAAGAACCAAGCAAAATAGGACATTGACCCTCTAAACATGATTTATACATGACATGAACCCGACTATTTACTATTATAAATAGGGTTAATTACAATTTGTCTCCTCCAATTTTGTCCCTTGTGACAATAAGCTCTCTGTAGTTTCTAATGTTGCAATTTGCCCCCTTCAAATTTCAAGTAGATTAAATTGACTAATAATAATTGGTTGGACACCTGAAAGAATTATTACACCCTTCACCTTGTACATTATTTTTCATATTTTTTTTCTTGAGATACTAATCTTGTTTCTTAAAAATAAGAAAACGAAGTAGTCAAGACAAAAATTATATCTTTTCAGACCAATACCAACACACTACACAAACCATATTCACATTCACCACCTCCGCCACATCAGAGAAAGGGGAGAGTTTCTACTGAAAAGGGGAAGGAAATGATAGTTAACATCTCAGGTCAGAAAGGATGAAAGAGTTTTGAGTATAGGTGGTTACGGATTTGGTTGGAGAAGTAATGATATTTGATAAAGGGAGAAAAATCGGTGCAAGGGTAATTATATTTTTTAAACAAAGTATGGATCATGTGAATTTGACATGTCTAATTTTCGTCAATTTTTTTTGTCCGAAAAATAATTATTGGAGTTAATTACAAAATATTCCAACTTAAAAAGAACTATTTATTGAAATTAAAATCTAAATAAATTGAAGTACTTCAAAATATGAGACATTGAAATAGTATCCCTTGAATTTGTATCATCCAAGATACGAATCAGTTTTCTATTCATTTGGCTGAACTACGGTGGGATGTGAATCTCATGTCTCTTTCTGCTAACTGATGAACTATTCCTGACCCACAAAGGATAATAAAGTAGTGATCAACGTTGCTTGCATCGCCAAAATTCAGATCTCTGAGTTCGTTTTCTCAACCGACCATTGATGTTTATGGCCTACCAGGTTGCTTTTTATACGAATGTGAGACGTCAAATCTTATGTCTACACAGCAGATTTTGTGGCTTCTGAGCCTTTGCTGCCTTTACCAGCCATGTTCTACTGTGTCACTGGTAAAGTAGGTGGCCTTTGTATATGCATAATAAGTATACAAATGTCATACTACACAGGTAGTAATCTAATTGGTTTTCAGCAGAGGGTGAAAGTCATGTCCTCTTCCGGTGATTATGAGTTTGACGTCGTTTGTAGTAATAGTTTTTGGGAGTCAGATAATGTTGGGAAGGTTTGAATGTTCAATTTGTTCTTGGTGGTACTATAGTGACAAACTGGAGTATTCTATGTCAGTAGCTATGGCTTAAACCGAACATTCTACAGTGGATGGAAACCTTAAGGTAACGTCTTGAGAGGATTGTTACATCTTGTCGTCCCTGACTACCCTTATTCCTTAGCCGAAAAAAAAGTATGCAGATGCTATGATCAATTTANAGTCATGTCCTCTTCCGGTGATTATGAGTTTGACGTCGTTTGTAGTAATAGTTTTTGTGAGTCAGATAATGTTGGGAAGGTTTGAATGTCCAATTTGTCCTTGGTGGTACTATAGTGATAAATTGGAGTATTCTATGTGAGTAGCTATGGCTTAAACCGAACATTCTACAGTGGATGGAAACCTTAAGGAAACGTCTTGAAAGGATTGTTACATCTTGTCGTTCCTGACTACCCTTATTCCTTAGCCGAAAAAAAAGTATGCAGATGCTATGATCAATTTAAAAAAAATCATTTCTTGTACATAATGCTCTCATTTATAGCCTAATTTAAGAGAAATAAGTACTCATATTAGTTTGAAGATGTTGATTTCCGAATACAAATTCACGACGTATAATTTGGGAGAGTACAGTTGCTCAAAGTTTATTGATTTCTGAAGTAGGTTGGGGATTCGAGAACGTATTCCAATGCAGTTGTTTATTAAAAAAGGTCAACNGGAGAGTACAGTTGCTCAAAGTTTATTGATTTCTGAAGTAGGTTGGGGATTCGGGAACGTATTCCAATGCAATTGTTTATTAAAAAAGGTCAATTGTGGCACAAACCATGCTTTCATGCAATTTAATATCTTGGGTTCTTAATTTGCATTGCAGTTTTGTAACTAAATTGCGGTTAAATCGTGCGAACTCAAAGTTTATACATATCGTGTAACATTATTATTTTGACNTTGTTACATCTTGTCGTTCCTGACTACCCTTATTCCTTAGCCGAAAAAAAAGTATGCAGATGCTATGATCAATTTTAAAAAAATCATTTCTTGTACATAATGCTCTCATTTATAGCCTAATTTAAGAGAAATAAGTACTCATATTAGTTTGAAGATGTTGATTTCTGAATACAAATTCACGACGTATAATTTGGGAGAGTACAGTTGCTCAAAGTTTATTGATTTCTGAAGTAGGTTGGGGATTCGGGAACGTATTCCAATGCAATTGTTTATTAAAAAAGGTCAATTGTGGCACAAACCATGCTTTCATGCAATTTAATATCTTGGGTTCTTAATTTGCATTGCAGTTTTGTAACTAAATTGCGGTTAAATCGTGCGAACTCAAAGTTTATACATATCGCGTAATATTATTGTTTTGATGGGTGTCGAGTTAGATACGATTCAACCGGCTCGTATTGATGTTGATCATTATTTTGAACCATGGATTAGATACATCATATTAGAGTTTTGTTTTTAATGTCCCTAACGAGTTGGTTAGATCCGTCGCTGTCTCACTACCATAGCAAGTATGGAAANTTTTAATGTCCCTAACGAGTTGGTTAGATCCGTCGCTGTCTCACTACCATAGCAAGTGCGGAAATNTAATGTCCCTAACGAGTTGGTTAGATCCGTCGCTGTCTCACTACCATAGCAAGTATGGAAACACACATTCCTTGATGGTTTTTTGACCAACAACTAATATTTAGTTTTTTTTTTTTTCTCTTTCCTCATTCCATCAATTCAGACCATTAACCTAACACTAATGATCTGTACAGGTAATGGCAGTAGGTTACATATTAAATACTGAAAACCTATGATTTGTGTGGTTAAAATGAACACCAGTCCTTGTTAACTCTATAGTCTTATTGACTATAGATTATAAGATGGGGTTAAGGCAGCTTACTTTTCTCAAAAGTATAATTAAGAATATAAAGGCGGCCATTCCTTTGTATCTAGACCCTTCTTTGTAGGTAAAAATATAAACTCTACACTTAAATCCCACAATGATAGTCTAAAGGTTAACAGTAGATCAACTCTTCTAATAAGCAGTCAAAGAGTACTCTATTCTTCTACGATCAATTGCCTCAGTGCGAATCAACCGCTCTGAATTGAGAGTATCACTTACCTTTCTCATATCCGGTGCTCTTCCCTGATTTTGTCAATAGCGGGCATATTGTGCACTGAATACAAATTTTTTCCAATCAGTAGCCTCTCATTGGACATTTTACTATGTACCAAATATGAGCAACTCAACATTCTAAGTACTTAAATAATGAGCAACTCAACATTGTTTATGTCCCTTTAAATACATTATTAGTACATTGTATTAAATGTATATGAAGCCACTGATTTGAGTTCCCAACAATTGTCCTTTCTAAGGCATAGTTATCATAATCACATGCTCATACATTTAATAGAGAGTAAACAATTCAATGGCTAGCGTGTTCATGTGTAATATAACAAAAAGGGTCTGTAATCCACCCTTGAAAGATAAATAACTCACAAAGGTACACTTTGGAAATTTGTCTTGTTTTACTTGGAAATTGCCAGCAAAGCTGTACCCTCTGTACATACCACTGAATCCAAGTAAAAGAGAATTATAAAAAACCATGGCTTTTTGTATCATGCCACACATAAGTCAGAGCGAGAGAGAGCTGTGGATAAAAAAATTTTAGAATAGAAGCAAAATTTTATTTAATCCTCTCTGTTTCTCAAAGAAGCATAACAATATGTACACAAGAGCTTCTCCATTCTTGGTTATCACCTCATATTTGCATCAACGAAACTACAAACAAGGCACCAACTTAAAGAAAAAGGAAAAGCTCTATACAATTTCTTACCAACTTAAAAGATAATGCAGGCATTTGGATTCTCTTCCATGCTTTCATGACCATAGTAATATGTGTTCATTGGTGGATTATATGGCCGGTTTGGCATTGCGGTCGTTGGAGGATAATATGGTCGGTAAGGCAGTGCGTTCAGTGGAGGATAATACGGCCTGTAGGGCATGATCCCGACCACTGGTTCTGGCTCAGTCTTCTTCTCTTCTTCCTTCTTCGGCTCTTCCTTCTTGGGTTCTTCCTTTTTGGGTTCTTCTTTCTTAGGTTCCTCCTTGGGTGGTTCCTCTTTCTTTGGCTCCTCTTTCTTTGGCTCCTCTTTCTTCGGCTCCTCTTTCTTCTCGGGCTCTTTTGCAGGTCCTACTAAGATGATGGCTGTTGAAGGCCAATATTTGCGCAACTTGCTCACAACACTCACAGGATCCACTGTTCCAATGATTGTGAGTGTCTTGCCCTTCATGTCCACCAAGAGAGCATCAATTCCTACAAAATCACAACTTCAAAGCTGTCATTGAACACTACTTAATCCTCTAGTTTTTTGCTCTCCTTGAAAAAGAACCGAGCCATCACACCCATCCCGCAGAATAAGAAATTATGTCAGAACAGATCCAAGTCCAATCCATTATAATGTCCCTCAATTTTTACCAATGGTAGATCATGCACCTACCACTTATACATAGATCACGGTCGACTTCAGTAATATATTGTTGAGGACAATTGAGAAAAAAACTATATCAAAGCGATCCAATTACAATCACCATAGTGCTAGAATGGTATTGGCAAAGAATATATTATCAAGCTAGCTTTCCTGTTACTCAGAAAACATTTTTGTAAAACATCTTGGCTTTCTCCTAGTTATATGCCCTTTAAAAACAAATCATATTTAGAAACCAAAGTTTGTGCAGCTGTGGAAACAATATCTTCTATGGAATCCCAAAATTATCCTAAAAATCTCTCCTTGATCTCGACCACTTGTTTAACTCATTGAAAAATATAAAATTTTCGCCCAAGTAATTGCACAAATGCAGTAAACTGTGTTCATCAAGTAAAACATTCTCTAAAATAACTATATGAATGCAGAGAATTTTCTTTTTAAAAACAGCTCAAGCAAAAAAAAAAAAATTGCCTCCACCCCTCATATGGTTACCCAAACAAAATTCAAGGAAAAATTGTAGACAGCTCAAGAAATTAAGAAACTCCTTTTCTAAGTAATATCCCAGAGAATCAAAAGATCTAATAAATAAATATTATGTAAAATATGCAGATCCAGAATAGTCAAATGAAATTTTTAAAGGCTAGCTTGATACCTGTAAGAGTGGAAACAGTCTTCAGGGCCTTCCTTTTGTCTTTGTCATCATGTAAATCCAACCTCAGGATAAACTTCTGTTAGAACAAACAAATTGAAGAACAAATAATCATAATAGAGTCCAATGAAGAACCACCAATGATTCTTGAACAGAGCAAGCCAAGGTTAATCAAATGAATTAAAGGATCAAATATAAACATAACTACTATGAATCAAACCCACCCAGTTGAAAATATTATTAGACTTGAAAATCTAGAAAGTTTCTAGGAAGAAGAAAGTATAAATTCTCAAAATCTGAAAGGTTCAAAGACAAAAAGTGGATTTGAGAGCTTGCCAAATAGGCGGAGGATATATTCATGACCCACATAACATATATATTTGAGGAATCAAATTAAATAAGAGTTTCAACAGAATTTGCAGCAAAACCCATCAAGAATTGTATTTTAACAAGCAGAAAAAGTTTCTAAAAAAGAAAACCAAAAAAGTTTATAAGAATCAGCACAATTGTAAAGATTATTGAATAAACTGAAAGAGAATCAAAGATTCTGACCTTCATTTGGGTGGCTATTGAGGAATCTGACTGATAGCTGAAAATGCTACTGGGATCAGAACCTGAAAACCAGAACGCTGAGAAGATAATAGAGAGAGAGACAGAGAGATTTGGTAATGTTACAAGGAGAAGAAACNTGACTGATAGCTGAAAATGCTACTGGGATCAGAACCTGAAAACCAGAACGCTGAGAAGATAATAGAGAGAGAGAGAGAGAATTGGTAATGTTACAAGGAGAAGAAACGAATCTGAATAATGCTCTTTTTGAAAAGGATAGAGAGAGGTTTGGACAGACCAAAAACCATCAAAATCCGAATCAAAACAAGAATTGCAGAGTAAGAGAGAGAAAAAGTAGTACAAACTACAATGCGTGTGTGTGTGGGAGAGCGAGAGAGAGAATCAAAATACGTTTGTAAAGGAAGGGTACGTCTGACCGGTGGAACTAACAAGGCCAGCAGTTAAGTAGAAGGCGAAGCAGTAAGAACACTCTCTCTCTGTGTCGCCTGTAGTGCGTTAAATGCACGCGAACCTTAGGCGCGTGATAAAGTTTTGAATTACAGTTACTGAATTAGATAATAGCGACATAGCAGGTAATTCAAGTGGGTTCCAGGTGGCGGGAATCTCTGCTCTCGTGGTCGAATTTCTCGGATTGAGCTCATCTCTATGTTTTTTTTTAGGAAGAATTAAACTTAGAATCAAATCAATTAATCACTCGGTTTTCAGACATTTAAAATATTATACATAAACTCTTTAAAGTTTGTATTCACGTAACAGTTAGACTCCTATTATAAATATATTCATTAATAAATTATACTTAGACTCCTCTACAATTTTTGAGTATATAATACTTAGACCATTTAAGTTTAAAATATTATATTTAGACAAAAAATACTTCAATCAAATATAAAATATTAAATATTTTAAATTTTAAAATAAAAATTTACTTTCTATTGTATCATTTATTGAAATAAAATTAAAATTTTAATTTTAATTTTTTTAAAAAAAAATTGTAATTATTATACGATTATATTATCTATTGGAATAAAACTAAAAAATCAAACAATGGGTCAAAGTCATTCATAATAGAACATGAATTTAAAAAAAAAAACATAGTTAGTATATATTTATACTATCTATTAAAACAAAACTAAAAAATTAAACAAATAATCAAATTATAATGGATACAATATCTTTTAGATTTAATTAGGGTAGTTTCATATTTTAATTTGGTCGTTTAAATGACTAAATTAAATTCTAATAGACAATATAATTATATATTAATTACAATTTTTTAAGAAAAAATTAAATTTTTGTTTTTGATTTTGTTTCAATAAATGATAAAATAGAACATGAATTTTAGTTGTAAAATTTAAAATATTTTATATTTTATATTTAATTAGAGCATTTTTTTGTCAAAATATAATATTTTAAATTTAAAAGGCCTAAGTATTATATATCTATAAACTTTAGGGGATAAGTATCATTTATTAGTGAATATATTTACAATAAAGATCTAAGTGTTATGCACGTACAAATTTTAAAAATCTATATATAATATTTTAAATATTATAAAATCTAAATAATTAAGCCACAAATCTCAAGAGCGCGAATGTAATTCTCCCTTCTCTTTTAATTTTCTCCTTGACGAATCATTCGGTACACATTTAAGTAGGACCCACAAAATACTCTCTATCTCTGAAATCTTTTTTTTTAAGTGGGACCCATATCACCTAAAAAAATTGAAGAAAAAATATTCCGGAGAGAATTTCACTTTAAAATTTTCTCTCTTGTGATTGGGAAATTTAGCGAATTTGAACCAACATTATAAATATTTGAAATTTGTTAAACATCTATTATTGGTTATTTATTTTTGGTTAACGAAACACCAATCTGTTACACATGATTTTATTTTTAATTAAAAATTTATAAATTTTATTGAAAGTCAGTAATGTGTGGGGATGATGATAATAAGAAATAGAAGAACGTGGTTTTATTTAATTTCTCCACTCACTTAGTATAAACAATTCAATCAAAAATGGCTATAAATTTAAAAAAATAGCAATTTACAGGTTGGTTTAATGGATTTTCCAACTAGTCTTGTGCCTCTTTACCTAACTTTTAAAAGTCAAAGAGTCGAGTATAAATTCTATATATATATGACTCAATTTGGTTATTAATCGTATTGTGTCAGATTCTCTAGTCTATGACATCGGTACCGTGCTGAAATTTATAATTTTTGAAATCAAGTAATACTTTTTTTATATAAAAATTACAATCGAAAAAGTGATGGAAGTTAATAAAAATATTTGTGATTACTTTTATCATTGATATGGTATTAAAGAAAAATAATTATCACAATAATGATAAAAATATTTATAAATATATTAATTTTTTTTATCAATAAAAAATATCTATACTCATTAAAATAATAAATTTTAAAAGAACGGTATCGATTATTTATTTGGTACCATATTCAGGTAATAGAATTGTATGCTGAACCAAACCACCCACGCGCAGCCATACTTGACGTCTGGCCATGAAATAGGTGGAAAATAATATTTTTTTATTCGTATCTAGAAGAGAAATACAATTACGCAACGCAATCACTATAAATTTTATTTTCTTTTTACTAATGATGCAGTTTTTTCCTGTGCCAATTAGCGTTGAGTTCCCCCAAAGAATGCACAGTGATTATGAGGTAGTCGTGTTACCACTAGGCTACTTAATTTGACTCTCTATTTCAAATATTTATTGATAAATATTTAACATATCACTCACATCTTAGTACTCTACATCACTTGAGCAATTAAACACTCAAGTCATCGTAGCCTTTTACAGTGAAGTAGGTTATTTTGACCAAACCATTTAAATTATATTTGCTTTCCTTCTTTATTACTGCATTTAATTTTTGACAGATAGTGCACAAATACATTTTTTACGTCAATATATTTTTTGTGTTAATTTAATTGTGCCCACTCATGACCTGCATCCCTTTTGTTTTATCTGAAGTTATTTACCCCTCCCCAGAGGTTTTCATCGCACGCTGAATCACTTTGAGACCAAGAGACAAGAGAAAGTAGTTAAAGAAGTACAAGTCACCAGTTTTTCAATGCTTTAAGTTCAACTAATGACAAATTTACAACAACGGGGTTATTCTATGTTATTAGTAGATGTGTTAGTCATAGATTTAAATAATCACTTTATACTTTACCCAATGCCCCCTACAAATAAATAGTAGAGATTTATTAAGTCAAACACCAAGTTGTTTCTCAGTGTGTGACATGTCTGAGTCTCTTTGATTCATTTCAGGATAAAAAAATACTCTATAAGTTGTCATTAAAGCACCCACTCATAAATGACTTCCCGATTCTACCTCTAGTTGAGACGAGTTCTTAATAACAGGATCCATCAAAACCTAACACAAAATTAGTAAGTAAGAGTNATTGGTAATGTTACAAGGAGAAGAAATGAATCTGAATAATGCTCTTTTTGAAAAGGATAGAGAGAGGTTTGGACAGACCAAAAACCATCAAAATCCGAATCAAAACAAGAATTGCAGAGTAAGAGAGAGAAAAAGTAGTACAAACTACAATGCGTGTGTGTGTGGGAGAGCGAGAGAGAGAATCAAAATACGTTTGTAAAGGAAGGGTACGTCTGACCGGTGGAACTAACAAGGCCAGCAGTTAAGTAGAAGGCGAAGCAGTAAGAACACTCTCTCTCTGTGTCGCCTGTAGTGCGTTAAATGCACGCGAACCTTAGGCGCGTGATAAAGTTTTGAATTACAGTTACTGAATTAGATAATAGCGACATGGCAGGTAATTCAAGTGGGTTCCAGGTGGCGGGAATCTCTGCTCTCGTGGTCGAATTTCTCGGATTGAGCTCATCTCTATGTTTTTCTTTAGGAAGAATTAAACTTAGAATCAAATCAATTAATCACTCAGTTTTCAGACATTTAAAATATTATACATAAACTCTCTGGAGTTTGTATTCGTAACAGTTAGACTCATATTATAAATATATTCATTAATAAATTATACTTAGACTCCTCTAAAATTTTTGAGTATATAATACTTAGACCATTTAAGTTTAAAATATTATATTTAGACAAAAAATACTTCAATCAAATATAAAATATCAAATATTTTAAATTTTAAAATAAAAATTTACTTTCTATTGTATCATTTATTGAAATAAAATTAAAATTAAAATTTTAATTTTTTTTTAAAAAAATTGTAATTATTATACGATTATATTATCTATTGGAATAAAACTAAAAAATCAAACAATGGGTCAAAATCATTCATAATAGAACATGAATTTAAAAAAAAAAACATAGTTAGAATATATTTATACTATCCATTAAAACAAAACTAAAAAATTAAACAAATAATCAAATTATAATGGGTACAATATCTTTTAGATTTAATTAGGGTAGTTTCATATTTTAATTTGGTCGTTTAAATGACTAAATTAAATTCTAATAGACAATATAATTATATATTAATTACAATTTTTTAAGAAAAAATTAAATTTTTGTTTTTGATTTTGTTTCAATAAATGATAAAATAGAACATGAATTTTAGTTGTAAAATTTAAAATATTTTATATTTTATATTTAATTAGAGCATTTTTTTGTCAAAATATAATATTTTAAATTTAAAAGGCCTAAGTATTATATATCTATAAACTTTAGGGGATAAGTATCATTTATTAGTGAATATATTTACAATAAAGATCTAAGTGTTATGCACGTACAAATTTTAAAAATCTATATATAATATTTTAAATATTATAAAATCTAAATAATTAAGCCACAAATCTCAAGAGCGCGAATGTAATTCTCCCTTCTCTTTTAATTTTCTCCTTGACGAATCATTCGGTACACATTTAAGTAGGACCCACAAAATACTCTCTATCTCTGAAATCTTTTTTTTTAAGTGGGACCCATATCACCTAAAAAAATTGAAGAAAAAATATTCCGGAGAGAATTTCACTTTAAAATTTTC